TTGTTTGTGTGCCTTGAATTCGGCAATGGGATTCATATTGGAATTGGGTTCTTCGAGGAACTTCCCAAACATTCAGGATTTATTGTAAGTGTAGTTCGGAAGGCGGCTACTTGGAGGATGGGCACCTTGAAGATCGTCGAGCTGAAAAAGAAACAGGACTATACAAGTCCTTTTTCTGGCCTGTCACCAATATAGATTCTTCCTGTTCATGGTGAGTTGTCAGCCATTCTCTTTTTGGAGACTCAAGGTGAAGGAGAGCTTGCAGCTTCACAGAATAGTCTGTTTCACTTGGGGACATGATTATCTAAACATATACAGAGTCCATCAAAAAAGGTATACACCAGGAAAAGAAAAACTTGTGTAGCTATTTTAACATAAAATTTATTGAGATACCATGAGATTAATACAACTCATCTTTGGCCTCTGCAATTTTAAGAGGTGTTCAAAGTGGTGGCCATTAGCTTCCAGATATTTATTAGTATGGCAAACTGCTGAAGTGTTTATATTTTGGGCAGACTTTGTATATTTAGGAAAAATGTATATATACACACATAGACATTTTAGTGAGCAGCATGCCTCTCTATACTCTTGTGGAGAAGCCTGGGATATTTGTGTGTGTGTGAATGCATGAGTGTGTATGTGTGTGCATGTGTGTGCTGCGGATCAAACTCGGGGACTTGCACATGCCAGGCAAGTGCTCTACCACTGAGCTATATCCTCATCCCCTAGGCCTGGGATTTTTTTTTTTTTTTTTTTGGTGCCGGGGATCGAACTTGGGTCCTTGCGCTTGTGCAGCAGGCAGTGAAACCACTGAGCTAAATCCCCGGCCCTAGGCCTGGGATTTTAATACCTGATAACAGTTGAGCTCCCAAAGTAGTCATTAAGTGTGTCAGACATGATGCTTTGTGCTTTGCTGTTTGGCACACACATTTGGAGATCAGTAGTATTATTTGTGGAGTAGAAGACAGCAACATGGCTATATTACATTCCCAATGGATAGTTGAAGAAACAAATAGCATGTTAATAGCCATGGTATCTTTGAAATGCCCTTGAGGAAACTTAATTTAATGACTTTAAATTCAGGGATATCTCACTAGGCTTATAGAGCTCTGGGTCAAAAGCTGATATCCACTGTATATAGAAATGTGAAGTGACCAATGTGTAACATTAAATCAAAACCATTCCCAATTTGTTGCAGATTTTTAATGAGATCTGAAAAATAAGATTCACCAGTTTTTATTCAGCCCTGAGGAAACTTTGCAACCTGATAATGCATAAAGCATTTCTGAGACCCAAGTGGAATGGCACTAGAGAGACTTTTATGAAGCAGAACAGGTTGAAACACCTTCCACCAGAGAAACAAAAGGCATTTGGATAGAGATTCCTTCAGAGAAGAGTAACATGTCACATTCCAGAGTCCAGAAAGGGAAAGAGAAGTCCAGTTCTTGCTCTGTCCATGCAGAATGCTCATTTATTCATTTATTTTTGTGGTGTTGGGGATTGAACCAGGACCTCACACATGCTAGATAAGTGCTCTACCGCTGAGCTATATCTAAGACAAACATTTTAGCTTTTATGGAAACTGAGGACACTATGTGCCCAACACTAGATGTTGTCTTATGTCGGGTGAGCTCCCTACTTGAGACTGGGTGTGGTCAATGATGGATGGATAGAGAACCCCTTAGGAATTCCCCTGATTTTGAAAGTTCCAGTCTCACAGAAAGTGGGTCCTGATAGAAGGGTCAACAGCCTCGTGGCCCACAGGTCTCTGCCCAGGGAACATCAGAGCTTCAAGCTTCTTACTTACACTCACCCTAGGATGGAGCTTATTAAACTTGACTGTGCATCAGAATCACCTGGGGGACTTATTCAACACCGACTGCTGCTCCCCCACCCGCCTGCAGTTTCAGTTCCTGTAAGTCTGGGGTAGTGACTAAGAATTTACATTTCCAACTAGCTGCCAGGAGTTGCTGTTGCTGGGCCTGGGTCTGCACTTTCAGAACCACTTCGATGAGTGCACCAAGAAAGAAATCCAGAGGGCATAACTACACCACTTAACTGAGCCCCTTTCTCTCATGGGTAAACAAAAAGGAAGTCGGGAAGAGAAGCAGCCCTCGACCAGTGCAGATCTTTTCCCCTCTTGGCCCAGGAAGGCAGAGCTGCTCATTGAGTTTGATGTTCAGAAGCATTAATTGTGATACTTTACTTTGCCTAAGCAGTGATGAAATAATTGAAGGCATCATAGCAAGAAGTTAAACCTTAGGGAGGCTATGAAAAATTTAGCATTTCCAGTTCATGTGGGAATGTCTCTTCTCCTTACCAAGGAGAGTATATGGATGTGTTTAGTGGAACAAGCAGCAGAATCAGCTAGGTTCTCAATTGGGTCTGTTTTTTTTTTTTTTTTTGGTATGGGGGATGGAACTCAGGACCTTGCACTTTCGAGGCAGTTGTCGGAACCACTGAGCTAAATCCCTGGCCCTGGCTCTGGTTTTTTACCTTCTTCCTGGAAGATGAGAAACGCAAGTCCACGTCTCTGGCACAAAGACAGTGTGCTGTGTTCTGAAGTAAACAGATTGTTAGTCTCAGAGCAATGCTTTGTTTTTCCTCAGTGGGTTAATTCTGCAGGGGAAGCATAGGTAGAGGGTGAACCTACTAGGGCTAAGGCCAGGAGGCTTCAGCGCCCGAGCAGCCACTGTTTTCCAGTTGCAAAATCAAGTCAGTTCCTTGGACTCTTTTGAAAGCCAATCTTCACTCTGCTGGCTGGAATCTCCCATGAGAAGTTTTAAAGTGCTGCCCAGTGGATCAGTGGACATAGAACCAGCCCTCTCTAGGGCAGTCTGCGCAGTGAAGACCATGACAGGGACAGCAGAGGGGAGAGATAGATGCCCCAGGAAAGAACACAGACTAGGAGTGGGGAGACTAACTCTGATCTTCACTTTGTGATTAGCCCCAGTTCAACTATGAGCAAACCACTTAATTTTCCCAGCTTGTGAAAAATGAAGGCATAGGCTTGGTAATTAAAGTTCTTTGTAACTCAAAAAGCAAAACCCCAAACTAACCATGATGCCAGGTACTCAGACTCTGTGGTTGATGAGACTTCATTTTGTCTCTTGGTCCTGGCTGCTCTGAGTGCAGCTTGTTCAGAGCCAACAGATTAGTAGACAAGTCTGCCAACCAGAGAACCGTGTGCCAACCACACAGCTGAAGGCGGGATAGGGTTAACAGTTTGTCCACTTCTTGTTGGAGGCCTATTGAAGGACCTCAGTCAGGGTCTCTTCCCAAAGTGGCAGGGAACTTAAAATTAGACTTTCCCCATGCAAGGGTCCAAGGACCTTGTCCCTGCTGTGCTGGAACCACAGAGATTCCTTCAGTTGTGCAGGTTTCTTAAGAAAGGAATTTTAGTCTCGGTGACAAATAACTTTGCTGAGGCAAGAACAGGTGCAAAAGTGGATTCTCAGATTTCTCTTTGAAAACTGCAAGGACTAAATCTGTAGTTAATTTTATCCTAGCCTCTCAATTTATTTAACATAACCAAATGTAGACATACTTATTTCCTGAGTTCAGTCTTCCCACTTTTGTTGGTCATTTTGTGGTTTTTATTTTGTTTTGGATCAGAGAGGAAGAAATGTCTCTCTCTAGATGGTCTCAGGCGAGGTCCTGGCTCCCCGATGGCTTCCCTTTGGCGGCCTGGCAACAACAGATTTATGCTATCTGTATAACAGCTTTCTCCAGCCATACACTATTGTAACCCACCAGGGTCCTCATGAAAGGGAATCTTGTCCCAACTGCCCTGGATGCACTTGGCAGTGTGGCTTATAGAAGAACAGGATGTATTTTACACTTGGGGCTTGCTATCCTAGAGTATACCCAACAACACTTTTAAGTGCTTTTATTAAGCTAGTGGAAAACATACTTTGCTCACCATCAAGATTAGTTTTCTCCTCTCCTGCCTCCTCCAATCATCACAAACTCCAAACCTCTCTAGAACACACAGAGTGTCTCCTATTCCATCTACCCTCCACCCTGTCTCAAGGTTGACATCTACATGGTTAGTTTTCTGAGAAGCTGGACACTTACCACAGTAACCATACAATTCCCAGGTCAGACAAACCGAATTTCCTTTCCTGCAAAAAACTCAGTGCTAGAAATGCTTGATTGACATGAGTGTGAAAGGTTATTTTTCCTCACCAGGTGTGCAATAGAATGCGGACCCTGGTTTCTGGGTGCTGCTATTATTGGATGCTGGTTCTTTCCTTGTCATTTTATGATACAATTCCTCAGCCTCAAGGAGAGAACTTGGCCAAAGTTATTTAACTCCAGAAGTCTGATCTTCATTTTCAACCACTTAGTATTGTGAGAAAACATGCCTACACAGGCTACTCCATTTGATAGAATGTTAGAGCATGACCTAACCAAGTCCTGAAATGCCCGAGGTTTCCCTGTCATTGAAGGTACTATCATAAATATAGCATGGGGTGGGGACTGTGGGAGGGGGAAGGCCGTGTGGGAGTGTCCCATAAAATATGGTTCACAAACCAACTCATTTCCTATTATAGTGTATTGCTTTTTGTTTAGACTTGCCTATAAAGTCAAGCTAACGTATGCATGTAAACCAGCCTTGCAGATAAATCCTATTATTTTCAGTCATAATAGTACCAATATTCTCTTTGCTATTTGGACACATCTCTTACCATGAGACAATAACCATATAATAACAGATAATTGAGCAAATGAACCTAAGAACCACCCCCACCTCCATACCTAAAACAAACCCCTTCCTTTCTGTCCAAAAAGTCCACAATTAAAAACAAAACAAAAACTATGGGAAACAGTTCACAGTTCACCACTGTTCTTTTGTTTCAGGCCTTGGGCCTATTAACTATCTGCAAGGCTGTTGTAATGATGTTAATCTATTTTAATGGAATTGAAATGTGATATCCTGTGGTTTACGATGCACATTGTTTATAGCTGTAGTGCTTGATTTTGGGTTTCTTTCACAGATAAACTTCTGCACTGGAGAGGCCTGTCCTCCCCTCGTTCTGCACACGGAGCTCTAATCCCCACGCCTGGGATGAGTGCAGAATATGCCCCACAGGGTATTTGTAAGTTGAGCATTATTTCTTCTACCAGTGTCCATGTGTCTAGAGATTAGAGGTTCTAGAAATTGCCCTTACTTTTTAAGCACTGAAGGGAGTTCCTTCCAAAATAGATTGGCACCAGCATACGTATTATTCCAGTACTCACTTGGCACCTGCTCCTCCACTTCACTCAGCCCCAGAGTGATATGTCCTTGCCATTTTTCTTTCTTTCCTCACTGAAGGCACGAAGCTCATAGCAGCTCAGCCCTGTGGGTCTCTGCTCAGGGTCTTGCTTGGTTCCATGGCTGATGGCTGTATTTGTCTGTGCATTCAGATCCTATTTTATTGCTGGACATTCACTCCCATCACCTCATAGAGGGCTTGAATTTATTCCATGACATGTAGCAGAGGCCAGAGTCACAAGGAGCCAGTTTAGAGTTACTCTGGACTTTGCATGTTATTTTTGCATGTACGTGTGTATTTGAACATGGTATATTTATATATACACATGTGCATATATAGATATAATTTGTGCTTATTTTACTTTAGTTTTAGAGAAAAATGCCCAGCATTATAGTTAAAATGTAAAGATTTTACCACCACTACCACCATCATCCATTTACTTGTTCTAGTCAACTTTTATAGTGGAGACCTTTTAATGAAATTTAGATTTGTTCATTTATTAAAATGTTTTCTGAAAGATTTTTTTTTTTTTTTTTTTTTTTTGGTACCGGGGATCAAACTCGGGTCCTTGTGCTTGTGAGGCAGTCTGAAAGATGTTTTAAAAAGTAATTCAGTTTGCTTCAGTATGTAGAAACACATGGTATGAATCATGCAAGTTTGAAATGTGGGGGGCAGAGGTTGATTCTACCTCAAATGCAAAAGAAGCAGATTCAAGAAAAAAGAAGTGTGACATCTACCTTTTATTTTGAAAGTAAATGGAAAAATAAAACCTGCTGTGGGAAGAAAAAAAGAAAGGGAAAGGATCATGGAAAGAAAATAACAAAGAATAAGATGCAAGAGTTAAGGCTAGAAAAGGAACTTTTTTTTTAAATAAGGGAGGGAAATTAGACTTATCTATCTCCTGAATGGACTCTGCAGGGCAGGGCATGCACCCTTAGACCAAATTCTAAGCCAGTTATTTATTTTTGCTAACTCCTAGGTAATCCCAGGTAACAAAGAGTTATTGTAGGAATTTCACAAGCCCTTAGGTCCTGAGGGCTGGGTGGTACAGGGGTTTAAGCACCTCATCATTTCTCCCCACCTCCCTTGCTGGGCCTAAGCCTGGGTTAGGTCACACACTGCAGAGAATTTAGGGGGTTGGGCTCATGATTTTGAGTCCCTACGTGGTGGCTGGATGGGGAGCACCCCTCCTTTTGTTGGGGATTCCTGGGGCACCCTGGGAGGGAGAGGAAACAAAGGGGGGGGCATTGAGAGGAGGATGAAGTTGAGATGCTGCTGGTCAGGGAAACAGTTCAGTCCTCTGTTCAGCTTGGTCTTCCTGAGGGCAGGGGTTTGATTGATAGATGGGAAAGTGGGAGCCCAGTATGGAACCCCTGTCCTCCTCTCCCTGCTACTCACCAAGGCAGGGCATATAGTTCACTGGTGTCCGGTCTTGCAGGAGGAATTTAGGAGTGACCAGAGCAAGGTATGTGGAAATGGGTTGCAGGGTTCTAGAAAGCTCCATGACAAAACTGATGCCCTCCCCACTCAGCTGCATTGCCCATCTGCCCTTGGCTTTGAGAGCCTGTAGCCTGTGGCCTCTCTGGTTGTGCAACTGGAACAATGACTTAAAATCGCCCCTTCCTGTCTCTAACCAGGGCCCAGGGTGAGACTATACTCAGACCTTCCTCTGGAAGCTGTTTGGGCATGTAATGTGGTTAGTCATTACCCTCGGTAATTAATCACGCCCAGTAGTAATGAAAACTCACATGCACGTTGGGCCTGATAGTTTACAGAAGGCTTTTATGTGCTTCTGTTGTTAGACTCTTACAATAATTCTTTAAAGTTAGTATTTTTATACTCATTTTACAGATAGGAATCTGAAGGCTCAGAGAAGTTAGACCATCCTATAGTTGCAAGCTAGAGCCAGGGGTTCTGCCTCAGTCCTCCTTATTCCAAAATTTGTGGCTTAAATCATATGACCTTTTGCATTGGTGACACATTAGAAATGGGAGGTCATTCCTTCCCATAAAGTAAAATGAAATAAAATCTAGTAGGTAGGCTAATAGCTGCTTTTAACCCTTTCAATGCCTTGAGTTCTTGTGCGTGAGGCCTGCATTTCAGTTTATTGCTTTAAATCAAAGCAGTCCCCGTGAATGCCCAATGAGGCTCTCAAATTGAGAAGTTGATTTTCATCAGAGTAAATGAAGAATATTATTATATTTTACACGTCAATAAATCAATGTAGGCCTAATTTTGCCATGCAGGAAATCAATTCTGGTCTTTCTAAACCATCAAAGATGTTATGAACAAAGTAATTTCACAAATTATGGCAAGTAACACATTTATTGATGACTGCAGTTTAGGAATTTAGAATCTGTGAAAACTGTAATATAATATGGTGCACTGGCATGAGCTGAGTGAAATACAGATTATATGGTGAAATTGTAATGCATCATTTGCTATTAGTGGACTGGTAATAATTACCAGTTTCAAGCAGCTCTTTCCATGTAATCTTTAGTCTCAATCGTAACAGCCCTTCTCATTGACATTATGATTATACTAGCTGCCCTCATGATCTAGAATATCTAGTTGATGGGAATACTAAAATGTGATAGTGAAAACTGTATGTTGTATGCTCATTATAAGATAAAATGCCATTTTCACTGACCTGATGTATGGGAGGGGGAAGGATAGCGTCAGTGTTAACATACTACAGTATAATCACATAAGTGGCTCTGAAAAAATTTTTTTAGGAAGCTCAGGGCAACAAAATAAAATACGCTTTTATTGTTTAAGCCCCCTTGGAAAGGGTACAAATGAGATTCTTGATGTAGTGCCACAAGCCACAGGCTTCGGCATTTATCAGTGGTCGCATCATGGCACATGTGAAACCAGCATCACTAATTATGGGTCCAGTCCTGGTTTTCAGGAAAAGATTATAAGGGTAAAATATGATTTGAAGGCATTTGGAGTGATGAAAGTGTTAAGGACTTGGTTCAGCTGACAAATCTCTTTTTACTTATCCAATTCCAATTGTCAGGCTAAATGTATGATAATAACCTAGAGTCCTACGGAGGCAGAGAAAGCCACAGCAGGTCACGGTAGTTGGAACTGGATAGTTTTTTTCCTGCCTATTTGGGACCCAAGTCATTGTTCAACAACAACAAAAAATTTATGAAAATATTCTCAATGAAGCTTTTTATTTCCCTTTGAAGAGAGGAGGCAAACGAAAATAGGCAGATAATGTGATACTAATGTCAGCGTTTTCTTTCAAAATCTTGCTGCCTTTTTTCCCCCTTCCACATTAGACAAATGTTTGAAACCTAATTTTGGTATCTTACCATCTAATCTTGTTAAAGAGATTTACCCAGGAGTGGGATATATTGAGTGAGATTATAAATGCATTGTAAAGTAAATTACAAGGTCGGGGCAGGAGTCCATTATTTAGACAAGTGCTTGAGCGAGCTGGCTTGTTTTGGAATATGAGTGTTTGGGGCTCCTGAGAAGATCCTGGCAGCTTTTCTTCTTGACTTGCTAAATGAGGAATCATATAATTGATTAATTCCTCATTGCTACTCTTTAACTCCCTGGTGAATTTTGTCCTTTTAAGAAAGTTACTGACAAATGCTAGCTGTGGGTTTAAGGAACTCTGCTAGGTCCTCTTTAAAAGAGGGAGAAAGTTTATTTCTGAGTTATATTTTAAGCCTTACCTTTTTCAGAATCCCTGAGACATGTATTGCTCTCATCTTTGTCCCTAGGCCACCATCACTTGTGTGCCTCTTTTTAAGGCCACAGTTGACTGATAAACTGTTGAATATATATAAATATAAATATATATATATTTCAATTTAGCTATCTCTAAAAATGAATGATTTTGTGAAGTCAAGCTGGCCCCCTCTCTGCCAAAGTGGTATTTACCACTCTCGGGTTCTTTTCAGCAAGAGAGAAATAATGTGACTTCAGCAGGGCCCCTCTCCAGACGGCTTGGCTACTGGCCAGAGAGTTGACTAGCTGAACTGTGTCTTTCTGTTTCTTTCTCAACTGGAGCCGAGTCTCAGCCGAGGGCGCAGGATGTTGTATAATTTGGTTCACGTTGTTAGCCTCTCAAAATAATGAGGAGGAGGCTAGTGTAGCATTGCTCAGCCTGCTGCCTGTCATGGTGCTGGCTGCCTGAACTGTGCCTTCAACCAGGGTACTGTGTTTGCTGAAGTTGGCACCAGCCACTCCTCCTAACTTCTCTAGACTTGCATTGATTGCACTGGGGGACAACTCCTAAGGATTTGTTACAGGCTTTCAGTTAAATCTAAATTAAATTTTCTTTTGAGATTTTCACAACATCCCTTGAGATTAAAAATGGGTGTCCCTGTGGGGTGTTATGAAGCCAAAATTAGAACTTTCTGACCTGCACACAGGCTAGGATGGGAGAATGTTGCTAGTCTCTCACCCACTGAAGAGTTTTGAGTCCCTTCTCATTTTAACACTATCAATAATTAGTACATTTTAGCCTAAGCCACTGTAGGGCCATAGAGAATTGTAGTGTGTTGAGATTTTCTTTTTTGGTATCTCTGTGCAGCTGTTGCATTTTAGTAAGTGTACCTGCCATCCATCGGGGAATAGACAAGGACAATAGGATTTAGGGAGCAAAACTGTTGCGTGGGTCACTAACAGTTGAGGAAACCAAGATACACAGAAATTAAATGCCTTGTCCCCAACTGCAGCTGATGACAAGATCAAAAAGTTCAGAAGACATCTGCTGAGGTCCCTAGATTGTAGGACTCCTTATCTTCAAGCTTGAATTGGTCAGAATTTTTCTGCTTTGGGAATTGGGTAAAGAGTTCTTAGAATTGAGTTTTAGGGAGGGAAGACTGATTTGACAAATATCTGTTTGGTACCAACCACCGCATGTGCTAGGCACCATTTAGGTAGAGGGTTAGTAGGTGCAGGAGGGGGTAGACCTTGGGGTTGGGGGTGGGGGCAGGGAAGGCTGGAGTTGGAACATGAATAAGCAATTGCTCAACTCTGCATGGTGATTAAACATTGATGTTGGTGTTGTATTATTTTGCAGGTAAAGATGAGCCCAGCAGCTACACATGTACAACTTGCAAACAGCCATTCACCAGTGCATGGTTTCTCTTGCAACACGCACAGAACACTCATGGATTAAGAATCTACTTAGAAAGCGAACACGGAAGTCCCCTGACCCCGCGGGTTGGTATCCCTTCAGGACTAGGTGCAGAATGTCCTTCCCAGCCACCTCTCCATGGGATTCATATTGCAGACAATAACCCCTTTAACCTGCTAAGAATACCAGGATCAGTATCGAGAGAGGCTTCCGGCCTGGCAGAAGGGCGCTTTCCACCCACTCCCCCCCTGTTTAGTCCACCACCGAGACATCACTTGGACCCCCACCGCATAGAGCGCCTGGGGGCGGAAGAGATGGCCCTGGCCACCCATCACCCGAGTGCCTTTGACAGGGTGCTGCGGTTGAATCCAATGGCTATGGAGCCTCCCGCCATGGATTTTTCTAGGAGACTTAGAGAGCTGGCAGGGAATACGTCTAGCCCACCGCTGTCCCCAGGCCGGCCCAGCCCTATGCAAAGGTTACTGCAACCATTCCAGCCAGGTAGCAAGCCGCCCTTCCTGGCGACGCCCCCCCTCCCTCCTCTGCAATCCGCCCCTCCTCCCTCCCAGCCCCCGGTCAAGTCCAAGTCATGCGAGTTCTGCGGCAAGACGTTCAAATTTCAGAGCAACCTGGTGGTACACCGGCGCAGCCACACGGGCGAGAAGCCCTACAAGTGCAACCTGTGCGACCACGCGTGCACGCAGGCCAGCAAGCTGAAGCGCCACATGAAGACGCACATGCACAAGTCGTCCCCCATGACGGTCAAGTCTGATGACGGCCTCTCTACCGCCAGCTCCCCGGAACCCGGCACCAGCGACCTGGTGGGCAGCGCCAGCAGTGCGCTCAAGTCCGTGGTGGCCAAGTTCAAGAGTGAGAACGACCCCAACCTGATCCCGGAGAACGGGGACGAGGAGGAAGAGGAGGACGACGAGGAAGAGGAAGAAGAGGAGGAAGAGGAGGAGGAGGAGCTGACAGAGAGCGAGAGGGTGGACTACGGCTTCGGGCTGAGCCTGGAGGCTGCGCGCCACCACGAGAACAGCTCGCGGGGTGCGGTGGTAGGCGTGGGCGACGAGGGCCGCGCCCTGCCCGACGTCATGCAGGGCATGGTGCTCAGCTCCATGCAGCACTTCAGCGAGGCCTTCCACCAGGTCCTGGGCGAGAAGCATAAGCGGGGCCACCTGGCTGAGACCGAGGGCCACAGGGACACTTGCGACGAAGACTCGGTGGCCGGCGAGTCGGACCGCATAGACGATGGCACTGTTAACGGCCGTGGGTGCTCCCCGGGCGAGTCGGCCTCGGGAGGCCTGTCCAAAAAGCTGCTGCTGGGCAGCCCCAGCTCGCTGAGTCCTTTCTCCAAGCGCATCAAGCTGGAGAAGGAGTTCGACCTGCCCCCGGCCGCGATGCCCAACACGGAGAACGTGTACTCGCAGTGGCTTGCCGGCTACGCGGCCTCCAGGCAGCTCAAAGATCCTTTCCTTAGCTTCGGAGACTCGAGACAATCGCCTTTTGCCTCCTCGTCGGAGCACTCCTCGGAGAACGGGAGCTTGCGCTTCTCCACGCCGCCCGGGGAGCTGGACGGAGGGATCTCGGGGCGCAGCGGCACGGGAAGTGGAGGGAGCACGCCCCATATTAGTGGTCCGGGCCCGGGCAGGCCCAGCTCAAAAGAGGGCAGACGCAGCGACACTTGTGAGTACTGTGGGAAAGTCTTCAAGAACTGTAGCAATCTCACTGTCCACAGGAGAAGCCACACGGGCGAAAGGCCTTATAAGTGCGAGCTGTGCAACTATGCCTGTGCCCAGAGTAGCAAGCTCACCAGGCACATGAAAACGCATGGCCAGGTGGGGAAGGACGTTTACAAATGTGAAATTTGTAAGATGCCTTTTAGCGTGTACAGTACCCTGGAGAAACACATGAAAAAATGGCACAGTGATCGAGTGTTGAATAATGATATAAAAACTGAATAGAGGTATATTAATGACCCGCCCTCACTCCCACCTGACACCTTCCTTCTCACCACCCCTCCTCCCCAGGGCCCTCCAGCCCCACTCCCTGTAGGATTTTTTTCTAGTCCCATGTGATTTAAACAAACAAAAAACAAACAAACAGAAGTAATGGAAGCTAAGACTATGAGAGTGCTTGTCACCAGCACACCTGTTTTTTTTCTTTCTTTTTCCTTTTTCTTTTTCTTTTCTTTTTATTTTTAAAAATTTTTTTCCTTTATGTTCTCACCGTTTGAATGCATGATCTGTATGGGGCAATACTATTGCATTTTACGCAAACTTTGAGCCTTTCTCTTGTGCAATAATTTACATGTTGTGTATGTTTTTTTTTAAACTTAGACAGCATGTATGGTATGTTATGGCTATTTTAAATTGTCCCTAATTCGTTGCTGAGCAAACATGAGCAAACATGTTGCTGTTTCCAGTTCCGTTCTGAGAGAAAAGAGAGAGAGAGAAAAAAAGACCATGCTGCATACATTCTGTAATACATATCATGTACTGTTTTTTTTTTTGTTTTTTTTTTTAATAATGTGAGGAGGTAGAACAGTCTTTGGGTTAACCCTCTAAAGACAGAATACATAGCACTGAAAAAAAATCTCTATGAGCTAAATGTCTGTCTCTAAAGGGTTAAATGTATCAATTGGAGAGGAAAGAAGAAAAGGCCTTGAATTGACAAATTAACAGAAAAACAGAACAAGTTTATTCTATCATTTGGTTTTAAAATATGAGTGCCTTGGATCTGTTAAAACCACATTGATGGTTCTTTCTACTTGTTATAAACTCGTAGCTTAATTCAGCATTGGGTGAGGTGATAAAACTTAGGACCTAGCATATAATTCTATATTGTATTTCTCACAACAATGGCTACCTAAAAATATGACCCATTATGTCCTAGTTAATCATCATTTCCCCTTTAGTTTAACTTTGTGAACAAAAACTGATTATACCAGTATAAAAGCTATTTTGCTCCTAATGAGAGCTTAAAAGAAACGGGCTGCTTTGCCCAGTTTTATTTTTTTTAAACAATGATGAAACTGAATGTGTAATGTGCAAAAGCCCTGGAACATGATTAAATGCATTAGTAAAAAGTTCATTTTATGAAGATACTTATTTTAAAAGATATCTTAAAAATTCTGACATCAAAAGAAATAGATCCAGATCCACTTGGTTGTCAAATGGACAATCAAATGATAAACTTAAGACCTTGTATACCATATTAAAAAGAAGAGGCTGACGATAAGGTTTGACAGAGGGTAACAGAGGAAAAAAAACAAGTGATTTTTTTAGCACAATATGGTACTATTTGCCATTTTAAACTAGAACAGGTATATAAGCTAATATTGATACAATGATGATTAACTATGAATTCTTAAGACTTGTGTTTAAATGTGACATTCTTAAAAAAAGAAGAGAAAGAATTTTAAGAGTAGCAGTATATATGTCTGTGCTCCCTAAAAGTTGTACTTCATTTCTTTTCCATACACTGTGTGCTATTTGTGTTAACATGGAAGAGGATTCATTGTTTTATTTTATTTTTTTAATTTTTTCTTTTTTTATTAAGCTAGCATCTGCCCCAGTTGGTGTTCAAATAGCACTTGACTCTGCCTGTGATACCTGTATCTTTTCTCTAATCAGAGATACAGAGGTTGAGTATAAAATAAACCTGCTCAGATAGGACAATTAAGTGCACTGTACAATTTTCCCAGTTTACAGGTCTATACTTAAGGGAAAAGTTGCAAGAATGCTGAAAAAAAATTGAACACAATCTCATTGATGAGCATTTAAAAAAAAAAAAAACTAAAAAAACTTTGCCAGCCATTTACTTGACTAATGAGCTTACTTACTTGGACGCAACATTGCAAGCGCTGTGAATGGAAACAGAATACACTTAACATAGAAATGAATGATTGCTTTCGCTTCTACAGTGCAAGGATTTTTTTTTGTACAAAACTTTTTAAAATATAAATGTTAAGAAAAATTTTTTTAAAAAACACTTCATTATGTTTAGGGGGGAACTGCATTTTAGGGTTCCATTGTCTTGGTGGTGTTACAAGACTTGTTATCCATTTAAAAATGGTAGTGAAAATTCTATGCCTTGGATTACACACCGCTCTTCAGGTTGTAAAAAAATACATTGGGGAAAGGTTTAAGATTATATAGTACTTAAATATAGGAAAATGCACACTCATGTTGATTCCTATGCTAAAACACATTTATGGTCTTTTTTCTGTATTTCTAGAATGGTATTTGAATTAAATGTTCATCTAGTGTTAGGCATTATAGTATTTATATTGAAGCTTGTATTTTTAACTGTTGCTTGTTCTCTTAAAAGGTATCAATGTACCTTTTTTGGTAGTGGAAATAAAAAAAGACAGGCTGCCACAGTATATTTTTTTAATTTGGCAGGATAATATAGTGCAAATTATTTGTATGCTTCAAAAAAAAAAAGAGAAACAAAGTGTGACATTGTACAGATGAGAAGCCATATAATGGCGGTTTGGAGGAGCCTGCTAGAATGTCACACGGACGGCTGTCATAAGGGTTGTACATATCCTTTTTCGTTCCTTTTTCCTGCTGCCATACTGTATGCAGTACTGCAAGCTAATAACGTTGGTTTGTTATGTAGTGTGATTTTTGTCCCTTTCCTTCTATCACCTTACATTCCAGCATCTTACCTTCATATGCAGTAAAAGAAAGAAAGAAAAAAGAAAAGAAAAAAAAAGGTTTTGCAGTTTTTTTCATTGCCAAAAACTAAATGGTGCTTTATATTTAGATTGGAAAGAATTTCATATGCAAAGCATATTAAAGAGAAAGCCCGCTTTAGTCAATACTTTTTTGTAAATGGCAATGCAGAATATTTTGTTATTGGCCTTTTCTATTCCTGTAATGAAAGCTGTTTGTCGTAACTTGAAATTTTATCTTTTACTATGGGAGTCACTATTTATTATTGCTTGTGCCCTGTTCAAAACAGAGGCACTTAATTTGATCTTTTATTTTTCTTTGTTTTTATTTTTTTTATTTGGATGACCAAAGGTCATTACAACCTGGCTTTTTATTGTATTTGTTTCTGGTCTTTGTTAAGTTCTATTGGAAAAACCACTGTCTGTGTTTTTTTGGCAGTTGTCTGCATTAACCTGTTCATACACCCATTTTGTCCCTTTATTGAAAAAAATAAAAAAATTAAAGTACACAATGTAAGCTTCTTGTGTCCTCATTTGACACACTCTGTAAATTACTTTCAAGAAAATAGCAGGTTTTAAGAGAAGGCCAGTCAGTCTTTTTCAGGATTATTTCAATGGGCATTTTGATGCGTGTATTATACCCTAAAGGAACATAAAGTACTTACTAAAATAGACATATCTCAAACCATGGACATGGTTTTTAGGCTTTACAGTTCTAGAATAATTTCCAAGAAATGGAAAGCGTTTCCAGTCTGATGTTAAAAACTTGCTCCATCTCTTAAGAGAAATCCATTCAGATGTAAGTGGTAAACTTGCTGGTAATAGCATCTGAAACTTTTATTTCCTTTGGATTTTTTGCTGTTCTTGTTGTCTAAAAGTTTTCTTCTATTCTGTCATCACTGCCCTAGCTTAGAACATAAGGTAAAAAGGGTTTGGTTTTTTTTAAAATCAGCTTTTAGCTTCTCCATAACAGGCTTTCCTCATAACAAAAATGACCCCACTCCTCAAACCTAAAAACCCAGAAACAAAGGCATCAAGTTAAAAAAATAATCAAAAAGGAAGGAAAGGAAAAGAGAAAAAGAAAGCAGCAACCAGGGGTAGCCAGACACAGCCAAATCTCTGGGATCAGCTACTGATTTCCTGAGGTGCATGGTAGCTTGCCTTAGGGTTCTGGGAGCCAGTGGACTGTAGATGCTACAGACTGTTTTAAGTGTTTTTATAGGTACCTGGCTGACAGCAAGAGAGGATGGGGTACCCCTTCAGTTATACTTTGATCAACCCACAGATTTATGAAATGTCTTTGAAAAACAAGTTAGGTCTATTTAAAAAAAACAAAACAAAACAAACCCTCTTTGGAAATCTATGTTGTCGGTTTCTCAAATACTGCATGTTGCAGCATCGATTTGCTTGATTAAAACTAATGCCTCTGTGATACTGTCTCCCTGTTCCCAGTGTAGATGAATGGATCTGACATTGTTCTTATTTTTGTAAAAACCAAAACCAAAGCTGTTCTGTTGTCTTCTTGTGGTAGCAGTTTTGTGCTCAGTTCTTAGGCCCTAGGGCCAGTGAGTGAGGTGGACTTTTCAAGCAATGCCTTTTATTGGAAGCAAGAAGAGTTTTATCATTTTAAAGTATAGAGGAAGTAGGTATTTTTAAAGACAGTGTGGTGGGAAACAGGGATCCATGTAGGACAGTGGAGAACACTGCACAGGAGCTGAGCTGGTGTAGGGCTGGGTACCTTGGAGAACTTGATGTTTGTCAGTGAACTGAGAAAAGATAAGTGTGTTTTAGATTAGGTGACTCCAAAACTGAATCCAAAATGCTGTTCAGACAGATAGAAATATTCCCCAGTGCCACGGTTTTAGATGTGGTAATTTCTGCTCTATCATATTAAATGTTCATAAAACTTCTGTGTGTCCCTATTGCTCTTTTATTAGGAGCTCTGAGTGCAGCTGTGTAGGTTTTATATACAGTATTCATTTTAATTTTTCAGTATATGATGCTGTTAGTATAATTAGGTTTTGCATCCTGACAGAATTAATGGATACTGTATTCTTGTATGTTCAGATTTCTTAACTCAAACGGAACAGGGAGGGGGGAAAACAGCTGGTGATAAATCACAGATTATGTTTGATTTACATGGTCCCAAAGTTAAATAAATTTATTGGGAGACAGATTCTTCAGGTTATTTTGTCTCCTAACTTACGATAAAATATTATTTCTGAAGCTGAGTGAATAATAAGACCATGAAAACAGCCAATAAGAATATAACTTACAAGTAACATTTTGTATCCAGAATCCTAAAATTTAAAATCTTACTATAAAATAACATTTTTAGAGGTCCATAGAACTATTAATTCCTATTGTAAAAATAAGAAAATACTAAGAACATTACTATGTCTCAGATTTCTCAGTTGTTTTAGTAACATTCTTGAGGTGCTGATGGAATTTTCTCTATGTATCTGAACTCCTGACAAAATGTTCCTTTGGATTTTTATTTGAAATCAAGTTAATAAACAGGAATATAGCAAATACTCTTCTCACAGATTTAAATCCAGAAATTTCTCCGGTACATGTACAGTACTACCTCCTTCCCGAGATCATTTGCTATCCTCGTGTTGTTTAGGACCTACAAAAGGACTGAAACCAACACGTTCTAAAGGTTGCTAAGAAATGGGGTGAACATGTTCATCATGTGTACAGCCGTGGCAGAAAGTGTGAAGTAGCTGAGTTTTTCCCAGGGTGTTCTGTGACTAGAACTGTTTATTTAAATACCATTTGTTGTGTATGCAATAAGTCCATTTTGTACATATTCATAATGGTTGGGGTAGAGGAGGGAGCAGTGGATTAGATACCATTTCAACTGGAGAAATAAGGAAATGAAGTGGTTTATTCACAGACACTGAAAGTTTGCTGAAATGTACTGGGATTGTTTGGGGCCATTCTGAAAAGGAATTAGAAATCTCAGGGCCCATCTTGTCCTGCCTCTAGTACTATACTCAGAGACTAAGGGAAGAAATACTGGGTTTTTCTAACCTCCTTAAACACACATGCATGCATGTGTGTGTGTGCGTACATACAGATACACACAGGATTGCTGATGACCATTGTAATTGTGTATTCCTCAGTATGAATGTCACTCCATTGTCCCTGCCCTTCGTGTGTTCAAGAATGTATCCATCCCATTCTTTTTTTAAAAGGCAGTTTCCCTAAAAAAAAAAAAAAAAAAAAAAAAAGGGATTGGCAGTGTTCTTTAAACCTGCATAGAAAACTTTTTAAAAAGACTACTAACTTTTAAAAGGTATGAGCTTCTTAGTAAATTTTCCTAAGCATCTTCTGAGGCCCTGCAGCTTTACCAGTAGAGAATAAATGAACCCATTTTTAGAGAAGTGGATACTAAAATATAGAGATGGGTTGGGATTTTGTATGTTTCCTCCAGGGCCGCTACAGTGGCAAGTTGTAGACATGGGCAGTTTTGCTTGCCAGCGTCTCCTTACTCCATATCTTGTTTATTACTGTGCATGGCCAGGGGATCCACCTTCAGGAGGACGGGCCTGTTTGTCTCTCTCTCTCTTTCCCAGTGTCACCTGTGGTCATGGGATGCAATTAATTTCTCCCTTCCAAATGGAAAGGGAGACGAACATGGTTCATGTGGGTTATTGTACTTTAGTATCTAAACTTGATTGAAAACGACTAAATGGTTGATCCAAATACTATTTTTCCTTTCTGTAACATGGCAAATCTATGTAAAGGAAGTACGTGTTTCTAACAGGTCTTTCATAAAGATAGCAGAAAAGGCAAATTAAGCAATTTCTCCCCAGTTTCTTCTAAAGCAGGAGCCCCCAGATCCACCAAGGGTCCGCATTTGTTTGTTCAGGCTTTTAACTATCAGCAGCAGATTAGACAAAGAGGTTTAACAGGGGTGTCAGCTAACTGGGCCTCAACGACAGTGACTAGTGCTGGACTGAGAGTGGGAGTCCCCAGAGCCCACCTGGACACAGCAGGCCCCGCAGCCCAGGTCTCCTCTGCTCAAAGGGGTATGCATGAGAGCAGCTGAGCTCCAGACCCCAGGCCTCCTGCAGCACCGAGTCAGGGGAGAGGAGGCCCCAGGCCCCTGCTTCGGGTCACCATGGCAACGAGGCCTGGCCTGCCACAGTGGTAGCCCTCCTCGGCACATCCACATCCGGACTCTCAGTTCTGCTGCTTCAAGTCAATGTCCACAGCAAGGGAGGAACCTGATGAAAATAACCACTCCCTTTTTCCCTTCACCAGTGCCTTACCCCCCTGACAAAAAAGAATAAAGAAAGAAAGAAAGAAAGAAAAAGAAAGAAAGAAAGAAAGAAGGAAAAAAAAGAAATAAAAGAAAAAAACTGCATGTTTGAAAGAAACTACAGGCAGTTTTGGTGCAATTTGAGAGCAACTATTTTGGGTTCTGGTTTTCTCTTCAGAGATTTGTTCGCCTCTTGTAAATCGTTGGCTGCTTTGACGTTGAACTTGATGACATTTCATGTTTTTGTTGTGCTGCTTTCACATCAATTTTTTTTATTTCTTTATAATTTTATTATTATTTTAAGAAAACGACCCCCTCCCTATTCCCTCCCTTGTTCTCCTCAACCAAAGGACTGTTTCCTACTAAGTTTTCTTAGTCATAAAGGAAAGTGTTTCCTTCCAGGTGTGCCCTGAGTTTAGTAGAACTATCATATGCCTGGGTGGGGGGAATCTGGGTCTTTTGGGGGATGGAGGGGAGGAGGGTCTGGGAAAGTCTCTCAAAGCTCAGGCATCTGGGGTGGGGAGACAGCATTGGAAATCGTGCTTAAGATACCAGTGGCTCAACCTGTGGTTGATTTAAATCATAATTTAAAATGCTAGTGAAAGAACAGAAAATCACCGGGCCAAGTCACACCTGTACTTTTTTTTCCCCCCTCCTCTGTCTCCAACCTCTTTCTAGGTTCTTCACACACCCCCATTCGGCGTAGTACCCAGAGAGCTCAAGATGTGTGGCAGTTTTCGGATGGAAGCTCGAGAGCCCTTAAGTTCTGAGAAAATTTGAAGCCCCCAGGGGCCGGGTGGACACGTGCCGCCCAGCCGACGTCAGCGTGGTCCGTCATCCTGCTAGTTTGTGATGTTTTCTGACAGTAGCCTCCAAGAAGCCGTTGTGCGAAGACAGAGTCCTGCGGAGTCCTTCCAGCCTGGGCCTGCAGTGCCATTTTATTTATATTTTTTAATAAAAAGTAAAAACAAAAAAACAGACCCACATTGGAACAGTGAATCAGTCCCATATAGAGGGCTTTTGGACCATCGCTGTCCTGAGCTGTGTCCAGCCCTTTTGAAACCAGCCAGCCTAATTACCTGTATTGTGGAAATGAGCATGAGTCCCCAACCCCTTGTTTCTATACATTCTATGTTGTCTTTTAAAAAGTGTGCTTAACATTGACACAATAAATGTTGGAGCTTTAGGTGGTGTTTGCTTGTTCTTTAATTTTTAAAGCTCATGAGACAATGCAGCTCCTTATGACTTTGTATTTCTTTAACAGTTTCCTGTAGACACCCATTGGGTGGGTAGGAGGAACAGATTTGAGGAATGAGTAGAAGATGTAGGAGGGGAAATAGGTTATCACTTGTCAGATGGCATACATTTTCAAGAAAAATCAGAATCCAAAACTTGGGAATAAATCATAGCAATATCATACTTAATATCATACTTAGTAGTAGTATTGCTGTTTATTAATGCTGAAGTGTGGTTTTCCTGTCTGACTTACGATTTGCATACCATTAAATAATGCATAATATGGCATGCTGAATCTTGTTTTTCAAATATATGTTTTTGGTGGCTACCATGCAGGATTTGAATTTGTCTTTTAATTTAGCTTAAGAAAGATAATGTCATTGGGTGTATGGTAAATCCTAAAGAAGTTGATTAACATCAGTAGTTGTTTATTAAATATTCTATTTTTAGGATCCTAAATCTTCAGCAAATATATCTTAATGCAAACAACAAACAAACAAACAAAACTTTAGTACTTCCATTGGAAAGTTGAAGCAGATTTTATTAGGGGAAAAATTATAGGAGGAAAGAGGGTCGCATTGGAATAAACCATTGTAATCATAGCAATGCACATTCCTTAGGAATTAATGACAAATAAATGATATGTACAAATATGTGATAAAAATTCCTGGCCCAATTAATTTGCCAAGAAATTTTCTCAATTTGGTGTTTTCTACTGCCTGGAGATCTAAAAAAGAATTAGACACAATTTAGCATATTAAAATAGGTTTATAAATAATAGAATGAAGACACTGTGTATTCTAGATTTACATATTGGTTGTGAACATAAGTGGGGAAAATCTTCACTCACCCTCTGACTAGATTACCTTACTTAGTGACAGCAAAATAATTGCCACTGGATTCTTTCCTGCTTCTTCATCATGAATAATAGCGTTCTACCTTATACTTTATATAGTGCTTTCATGTGCATTGTTTCTTCTGATCCTCATTGGGACAGATCTCACAATGTCCACTCTATTAACAAGAAGACGAAGGCTCACCATGGTCACAGGGTTTTCAGGAGACCACATCAGTAAGAGGGGGAGCAGAGAAGCTGGGTTTTCTCTAGTCTGGGGAATTAGCTGCATTCTGCTTAACTAATCAAAGGTAATGTTTCTCCTTAGAGTGCTTCTCCCTCTGTTAGCACACAAGGCAAACACATTCACAGACCCACATGTGTGGTTTACACACATGGACACCAAGAGAGGCCATTGGCAATGGTACTCCTAGTTGTCTCTTCCTATCAATAGCTGTGTACACTGCAGATGGGAGCAACCATCCCTCCTTGGCATGCATGGCTTTTCCATGACAGATAAAGAATCCCGAGGGTGCAGATTTCATTATGAGTTTTCGAGAGTTCCTAGGTGAACACGGGACTACCAGACAAGAAGTTACTTCACCAAAAATTTTTCGTTCTGCCCCATGCTCTGCCACTGTGTTGTTGAGACCTAAGACCATGACGGATTTTGTAATAACATCCTCCCCAAATGCGCTCAGCACCTTGCTGATACCTGGAAAGAGTGGTACCAATTTCAAAGAGAGACTCATTCAAACAGAGCAATCATGGTTTTGAGACAACTTCAGCCTTGGAAGCTGCACTTGGTATTCTCTGTGTTTTTACCCCACCTCTTAGTTCTTCTCAGAGTCAGTATCTAAATAAATGGGTATATTTAGAAATGGTTTTATCACTTTTTTGGATTGGAGGGAACAAAAGTAGATAAATGCTACCTTTTTTTCCCCTTCCCTCTTTGAATAAGAAAGATCCTTCACTAAACAAAGCAAGTAATACACTTCATGTCTTCCCTCATACTTTTTTTAGTGGAAAGAAAATAATTCATTTATGGGATTCATTATGAAATGGTGTTATGCAAGGGCTAGATCTTTTGAAACTCCACACAAGATTGATGATTTGGGAAATCATCCCTCTGTGCAGTATGTCAAGGTCATGGTCATCAAGACTAGTAGAAGCAGGGGAAGGGACTGGCAAATCTGACTGAGGTCCTTGCCATGCCTTCTCTTGAGAGGAACTTCAAATTGAAGGGAGATGAATTGGTTGCCTGGCATGCACTGAGCACAGATTAGAGGATACAGTGCTGGCTGCTAGGATGACGGGGACCAAATATGGGGATTGTTCTTATCCTCCCAATTGTGGTCTGTGCCCATTAGTTTTGTTATCTGTCCAGATTGTCACACGTAAAAAAGGTCTGTAAGTCCATGGTGACAGAGAGTGACTCAGAGTCCCTGTAGCACCTAGCACCCAGCGTGTTGAGTATTGAGACACAATTGTATCAAAATCCAATGAGTTTAAAGAAAAAACTTAGAGACAGATTTCTCAATTTTGAGCTAATTAGGATTCTACTGAGGCATAGTTGAGGGCCCAAACTGTGGCAGAATATTTGCTGAGCACTTTTGCTTGGAGTTTTCAAGAGCATTTGGATTACCGCCAACCTCTGCAAGTGGTCAGGAGTCTCCTTCAGGTTTTATGCTTATTTATTTAGTTATGCTTGTAGTGAAGTCAGTATTGAAGGAGACAATTATTAATATAGTCCCTAAAAACCTCAGTATTAATATTTGTTTCTGTAAAAACAATTCATATTTTCCTCAGCAGTGTTCTGAAAGTAGTGGAAACGATTATTAGAATTGGAGTATTTTGTAGGCTGTTGATTTTCTAGGGGTGTAGTGTTAAAGAAATAGATTTGAGGAGTGTTGGGGATTTAACTCAGTGCCACCGCACCTGCCTTGCAAGTGCAAGGTCCTGAGTTCGATCCCCAGTACCAAAAAAGAAAAAAGAAAAAAAGAAAAAAAATAGATTTGAGGAATTGTGAGTCTGGTAGAAGTTCAGAGACAAGACATGTTACCAGTACATTGTCCTTCTTCAAGATTCTTGTCTGAGGGAAGTATGAGCACCATAATCCTTTCCTCTGACTCCCTGATGGAGATGCACTCTTCAGCTAATACACCCCTTGGAGTTACATCAAACCAAAGAACTCACTTCCAGCAAAATCTAGGAGGAGTGATTATTTTCCTTCCTATCTTAGTGCAAATAAGATACTTTATTGCTAATCACCTTTCCACTTGTGTATAGTTTTTAAAATGTTCCCAGAAAATCACTTAAGTATTATAGAACAATTTCATATACATGATGGAGTCAATTTTCTTTGTGATTTTATAAATTAGGTAGGAGAAGAATAGATTAAACTGAAAAGAACCGTAACTATCATTCAATTTATAGGTCAGGCATCAGAAGTCCAAAGATGAAGGACGTACCTAGATCACATGGTTGGGGGAAAAAGAGTCAAGCAGAAACCACATAGTTCCTTAGTGGTTGAGCCAGAAATGGAACCAAATTTCTTAGCTCCTGTCCAAAGGAATTGAGGTGGCGAATCTTTCCTTGGTGACCCACTAGATTCAGAAGCCAGAATAGCAGAAAAGTGTGCATCTTAGAAATATTTAGGAACAAAATCAAAAGTTTGTTTGGTGGTACCAGTACTAGTAAGAGAACACGTAAACCTACCCTATATTTCAAGGGCTTCTAAGTAGTATCCTTATGACAGGGAACACTTAGGTCACTACCTGGCAGGATTATTCTTTAATTCACTTCTCCAATGATAGAAATAAACTTATGGACCAAGAATTGCTGAGAGAAGGCTTTTAAAGTTAAAAGGGCATAAAAAAAAAGAGCTACTCATCAAACCAAATTCATCTCAAATGACTTAAATAGATCTCACAATCTGTTCCATTCTCTAGTCGGGATTTAAGAGAAACACCCACTTAATTTGAATTTCGAGGCCACATCATATTCTGTTAGGGAATCCAAAGAGCCAATAGCATGACCTGAATCTTGTTACTGGGCTATTTAATTTTGAGTTCAAAGGTAGGGAAATAGCAATGAACAGAAGGGAGGGTTGATGGAAATTGCTTCTAACTCTAAGTTTTGAGGATTGTTCCACTTACTGTGCTGTTTATGTCTCACATTTTCTCTGTGCATGATGAAACCTTCATCATCTTCCTCTGGAATGGGGACTCCAGGCTCCCTTTAGAGATGTATGTACTTTCCCTTGCTCCTTCTTTAATCTGCTATGTGCAGCTCTTCTGCTGTCATTTCTCTTCTTGCCAGCCACCCTCTGATTCACATTTACTTCTTGAAGAGGACATGGGTGGACTTTGAATGTCTTGGGCTGATGGGGCTGCAGTTGATAAGTGCAGCAGCTGTTTAGATTCTGCATGGGCCAAGCCAGTCCTGGAGTTGGAGCCAGATAGTGGGCATCTTCACCAAACAGCAAGAATCAAATGTCCTTGCTGAGGATGGTCTGAGAGGGTGTAATTTGCCTGTTTTTTTCCCCTGGTGGTTGTTCCCTGCATTTC